AAATTTTGCAAAAAATCCATAAAATCGACATCGATTGATAGCGAAAAGTGGACTGTGACACCCGCCGGGGCCCGAAGTGTATGTGTGTCAAGTTTGGTCCCGATCGGTTAAGAAATGGAATTTTCTATTTGGAACATACGGCGGAGCCGGGTAAGCCAGCTAGTTACAAATATATTATTGACAGGCCCGGGCGGAGCCGGGTTTGCCAACTAGTACTCAATAATGTTATGCTTAAGCATCCAATATAAAACCGAAAACATATAATAATAAAATATATCCAATATAAAACCGAAAACATTCTACTAGTCTCAAGACACCATACTGTGAATTTAGTCTAATTTAAAAAAAAACATTGAATCTCGTTTGGATTATGCAAAAATTTTCACGCCAACCTAATATATACATCTACTCTATGCACACAGCTTCAAAATGACACTTCTATTTCAGAAAAAAACGCATTTGCACAACCACAGTCAACCTCGATCACGGCACGCGTCATGAAAACCGAACGAAGGGAGAAGAACTTTGAGCATCAAGATTTCATCGCACATCTGCTTCCCCTCTTTACGTTTTATGATTGAACATCTTTCTGGTTATCACCACGCTGACTAAAAGAAATGCATTCATTCTATGGCTTTATGCTTGTGCTCATCCGTTTGATTTTGTTTACACTCCTACTACTTGAAAAACTGCAGTCACTTGTGTATAAGTAAAAAGTTTTCAATTAACAACCATTGAATATTAAGCGCGTATGAACTCGAAAACATGGGTACGAAATGCATTTCAATAAGTTAAAGGCAGCGGCTTGGCAGATTTTCAACTTCGGGATTTTGGCAGATTTGGGGCTATTTCGGCCCCCTGAATCACGATATGAACTCCCCTTAGCGCAAAAATGGGGAAAACCCGTCTTTTGAAACCCCCTGAGACGGACGAGACGAGACGGACGCGGACGAGTCCGTTTTTCTCTGCCGTCAGGGACGCAGAGTAAGGAACGGAGAGAACGCTAGAACAATTCTGCCCTATAAAGCTACGAGTGACGGCGTTTCTAGCGAACATACTCGTCCGAACAAGGTGTTAGGTGAGCGAAGGAGGAAGGGGAGCGGCACCTGCCCCCCCCCCCCGGGCTTGCAGACTTCACATTTTCGGCGCGTAGTTGCTGTTTTGGTTCACTTGGAGGGCCTCCTATCCATCTTCTCCTGTCTTTAGAGGCAGCGTCCAGGCAAAACCGGGCCAGTGGGGATCTCACTTGGATGGTAATCTTGGAGCCCTAATTAAAACACTGCCCAAGCGGCAGCTCAAATGGTGGGCTCACAGTTGAGATATTCGCTTCCAAAATGGACCCCGGGATCGTATTCCCATGAATTCATGGCGCGACACATCAGTTTCGGACAATTCTTGGCGCGATACGCGGACCGACGCGTGTCGCGCCAAGAATTTATGCAAATACGATCCCGGAATCCAGTTTGGAGGCGAATATCTTGACTGCAGTGCATACCGATGGGAGGAGGCCGGGGGGAGGATGGGTGGCGAAACTCTTGAAGGTTACTCAAATGTGTTAAATAATTGTGCAAACGACTTATTTTTACCTGTAAATAATTGATTTTCAAAAATACAAATTAGCCTTGTAAAAAATTTTCTTGGGGGCGTGGCTGCCGCCACGCGCCCCTTTTTCGGAAATTTCGGAGTCAAGGGCCCGCGAAAATTTGGGGAAGCATTCGCACCTTCATCCAAAATTTTTTTTGTCGCCCCCCCCCGAGCATAAATCCTGGATACGCCACTGCTCGACTGTAAGTTCACCATTCGACTGCCGCTTGGGCAGTGTCTTAGTTAGGGCCCTAAAATTACTTACCACATCAGAATCCCGTATGTCCAGATTTGCCTGGAAGCTGCCTTCAAAGGCATCGTCCATAGAAAATAGATGGCGAGATTATGATGGCATACTAGTGTGGGCCTCCATACTAGACAAACCTCCAAGCTTCACCGCAAAAGACTGCTTCTGGAGCGAGAAATCCGCTCCGGAAGTAGCAATAGGCCACTTGCATGCTTTATCTCGCCTGCGCTTGTTGCAGAGGGTTCTCGAAACAAAGATTTTTGGGGGTTTTCGCGGATTTTCGACTCCATATTCGGAATCAGGGCTTTCAGAAGGCCTGAAGGCGACAAAAACATTGAATTCGAGATTTTGGGTGGACGGTGCCTTTGAGAGAACAGCGATGGGCGCAAGTTGCGCCGTAGTTGAGTATCACAACATCACTGAGTCTCGCGCTAGAGCTCAGATTTTCTCCCGGTCTGCATTAATGCGGAAGGAAAAGTTGTCTTTGGCAGTGACTTCCCAATTCAAATGCCGGTGTATGGAAATTCTCGCGACAGATGATTAAGTCCCGCACTCAAACCGTCGCTACATAAGTTTTCTATGCGCGCGACTCAACCATGACTGTCTGAGATACGTACGTATCAGTGGCGTACCGTGGGGGTAGCCCCCCTCCCCCCGAGAATGGGTCGCGAAATTTTTGTAAGTTGCTCAAATGTGTTATAAAAATGTGCAAGCGACTTCTTCTTACTTGTAGATGATTAGAATAATTTTTAAAAATTTTTAAAAATTCAAATTAGCCTTATTAAAGGCAGTACATCGGCAGAATGAGACCCGTGACAAAACAGGGTCACAGGGTAAGCCCCCATATGAAACCTATCGGCCAAAGTCCGATCTTTCTCTGCCACTTCTAACCCCAGAAATTTCAAAGCGAAAGCAGCGCTCATCTCCTGTCCTCTCCGAACTCGCCCACCCCATGGACGAGTGACTTCCGCGGTCAGAGCGCCAACCGCAATGCTATAAGCATGAGGTCCCGCAACGACTCTGCATCTTCGCCATGACGGGCTTCGCGTTCACTCGTCCATGGGGTGGGCGGGTTCGGAGAGGACAGGAGATGAGCGCTGCTTTCGCTTTGAAATTTCGGGGGTTAGAAGTGGCAAAGAAAGATCGGACTTTGGCCGATAGGTTCCATATGGGGTCTTCTATCCTGTGACCTTCTTTTGTCACGGGTCTCATTCTGCCGATGTACTGCCTTTAAAGGTATTTTCGGGGGGGGGGGGGCGGCTACGCTACATCAGGGACCCGCAAAAATTCTGAGAAGCATCCCAAAAATTTTCCGGAGCGCGTGACTAACGCCACGTACATTCATCCGAAAAAATTTTTGTCGCTCCCCCCCCCCCCTCCCAGTTACAAAGTCTGCAGTGTAGAGGCAAAACAGCCAAACAGCTCATTCTTCAGTAAAAAAGGGGAATGATCCATCTTATTAACTACATTTACCTCACGATGTGAATATAGTACCTGCAAACCAGTGGCGTACCCAGGATCTCCGCTCGGGGGAGGGGGGGGGGGGGCAAAAAAATTCTCCGATGAAGGTGCGTGGCGTTAGCCTGCACTCCGAGAATTTTTTGGGATGCTTTCCAAAATTTTTGGGGCCCCTTGACCCCAAAAGTTTAGAAAAAGGCGTGGTGGCAGCCACGCCCCCGAAAAAAAATCTTTTACAAGGCTAATCTGAATTTTTGAAAATTTTTAAGTTTATTTTAACACGTTGACGACGAGCCATTTTTTTGAGATCTGTCCCTGTGGACGAGACGTTCCCATGCATCCCTAGGTCTAGCCGCATGCATGCATGCATGTGCAAGTCCCGCCCCCATGTGGCAAGCTCCGCCCACTCGGCAAAAATGTTGGAAATTGTCCAAATCCCAAGAATTCGTGCAAATTCCGCAACTTTTGAGAAACGGGCGGAGCTTGCCACTTAGGGACGGATGTCTGGCGGTGTGCGGGGCCTGGTTAAGTTGCTTGAGGTCTTTGCGTTCATCTATGGCCTCATCCATGCTTCTAATGACAAGAAGGGCCCTTGTAAGAGGCATGGGATTGGGCGGAGTTTGCCAAAGGGAGCGGGGCTATACATGAAGTACATCTGAGCCTATGTTGATTATATGAACAAAAACTGAGAGAATTGGACACAAAGTATTTAAATTAAGGCCGTCGCGCACTATTGCGCGGCGTTGTCCACAGGGACAGACTGCCTGCCGCGTACCATTGCGCGGCACTGTCGTCAACGTGTTAATTATTTACAAGTAAAAACAAGTCGCTCGCACATTTTTATAATACATTTGAGTAACTTTCAAAAATTCCACGACCCATTCTGGGGGGAGGGGACTGTTTGCAGCAGTTTGCAGCAGTGGCGTACCGTGTGTATGATTGCTGATGTGCCATTACAAGGTAATTCCTTAACAAGCCCGAAACGACTCCTCAGGGCATGTCTGTACAAATGGGAAGATTAGAGCCATTGTCGCATAAAGGAAGACAATGCGCTCCCACGCTACACGGCTAACGCGCGCGAACGCCCGTGCAGCCCGTGCAGTGCTTTAGGTGGGGTTTGGCAGTGGCTCTGTGGCTGTCTGTGGCTGACGGCTTAGACCCTATGATAGTCTAAGGGCTTGGCATTGGCGCTTGCTGATTTCACAGTCGGCGGCCCGCCAGCACGCTAGGGGGCGTTTAGCGTACAATATGCGAGCATTTCGTGATGCGATTTCATCTATGTACAGTATTTGGATATCCCAGATTCGTGCAGAGGTCGTACCAACTCAACCCAACAACCACTACAGCGTTTTCATTGAATTTTCAGGAAGATAAATGGCATTGAAATTGAGAGGTGATCCCCTAGGGATCACACAAAATAGTGAAAATCTAATCAACTGTGCCGGTGACCTGGCATCCATTATGCGCAGGTACAAGGGTATGAGGACCTTCATACGCAAGATAGAAAGGAAAAAGAGAGATACGTAGAGTACCGAGATCTAACGTATCCCCTTTCAGATCCCCTCCCCTCCCCAGCGGGGATGTATGTACGTGCATACGGGCCAAAGAGTGGTGGTGTCTGATAATAAGGAAGTACGAAAAGCTACTTCGACGTGGAGGTTGAACAAGTTAACACAAATCTTTTCTATACGAATCTGGGAGTCGATGGTACCTTCATTCCAGCAGCAACTCGACCAAAGATTGTGTGTTTGCCATCAAGATGCTGTGTGGGGGCTAACGTGATGAAAAATTGAGATCCATTTGTGTTCGGCCCTATATACGTAACTTTCCATACAAATAATCATGCACTGACTATGGAAAACCTGCATTAGCCATAGACAGGATACCTGCCCCAGTATGTTTGAGCTTCTCGGAAATTTCATCCGCGAAACGATCACCGTATATGGAGGCACCTCCTCTTCCTAAAAGAAAAGGAAAATGTGACTATCATTGGCTTCCAGATTCGTGTGGAGGTGGAGCCTTTCCAACTCACCGCGTGAGGTTTTTGCAAGCGAGAGAGTACGAGGAGCAATGCTTTGAAGTGGAGGTTTAAGAAGTTTATTTGTGTTATCAGGCAAAGCCTGCAATACACCTCCACACGAATCTGGGGACGATTCTAGTAAACAAGAATAAGCTTACCTGTCCCCGTGGGGTCTCCGCCTTGGATCATAAAATCTCCAATAATTCTATGAAATATAGTACCATCATAGTATCCCCTTCTAGCTAATTCGCTAAAGTTACGACATGTTTTCGGTGCATGATCCCAGTACAATTCGAGGCATATTTTTCCCATGCTGAAAAATTACTTGTACAATACGAACGAACAAGCCTTGCAAACATGGGTGCAGACCTCGTTTCCAGCATGACGAAAGGGGCTTTATCGCTCAGCGACATCCTCGACTTTTCAGCACCCTGAGAGGACTATTCAGTATACTTTGGGGAAATTCGATATTCTTCATCGAATGAATGAATATCGAATGAATTCGGAAATGAAAAATTTCGAATAAGCGAATATCGAATAAATTTGGAAATGAAAAATCTCGAATATCCGAGTGTCGAATATTCCAGATTCAACATTTTTCGAATGAATAGATCCCGAGTGAAATCGGAAGATGAAAAACATCGAATGAATGAATATCGATTATATTCGAACACTGGAAGTCGAATTTCGGATAAATATTTGAATGATTTATCGAATATCTAGAGAGCATATCTAAAACTTGCAGACATACCCGGCTAAATCCGGTTCACTCATTCAAAATCAGCACCCTCATTTACACTCTGTACCAACTGCCACCCTCCTAGCTCAAAGTTCCAAAAATCATTGAAATACGTCTTTGTCCGGGTTAACATTATTGCAAGGATACAACTGCAACACCCACAGTGGTTTGCCCTCTCAACGTGATGTGGGGGTGACACTGGGTGTTGGACATCCACAGCAGAGTGTATACTCTGGTATGGTCTCCCAAGCTGTCAAGGAGTTCGACGCGTTTCCGGTCTCGGCCGGATGCCTAGCTAGGAGCCGGCCAGGCTAGATCCCTCGCCGTCTGACTTTCTCCGGTCGCTAGGCGGTTTTCGCTGCTCCACACCTGGGTCAGCGATCGCTCAATGGTGGAAATCAAGAGTTGGCCTGATTCTGCTCTTGTAGTGGAAAAATTTTCATTACTCGATCAGCAGAAAGAAGAGAAATAAACCCTGCACACTGGATCCGGCCTACAACGCCGGGTGGTGGCAAGAACGATGTCAGGGTCCTTACGGCGCCTTTTGGATCGGACAAAAACGACACGTCTGCCCGGACGACACGCCATGGAGACTGCCTCATGCTGTGCACCTACAACGCCAGGACAGTTCCAAATCGCTGACGTCCGCGCTCTTCTCGACGCTGCAGAGCACATCAAGTAACACATAATCGCTCTGCAGGAAACGAAGTCCAGGAAGAAGGACGAGCGACAGATAAGTGATGGGACCCTCGTCAAGGTGGTGAAAAGGTTCCATCACGAAACGTGGGAGGCGTCGGCTTTGTCGTCCACCCATCTATCGTCCATCTTGTCGATTCGCACGAGATCCTATCATCTCGACTAGGCATCCTACGACTACGCCCTCCTCGTCAGAAGACCATCAGCATCATCAACTGCTACTCGCCAACATCAGCAGCTGACGACTCAGAACTAAATGCTTTCTATGAAGACGTGGAGGAGGTCGTCCGCAACGAAAAGTCCTTCTACAAGTATGTTGTGGGCGACTTCAATGCGAAAATCGGGATGCCACTAGAAGAGGAATATAGGATGGGGAAGTTTGGATATGGGCTCCGAAACGAAAACGGCAACCGTCTCGTTGGGCTTCTCTCCGCCGCACGATTTTTCCATGAAAATTCCATCTTCGTGAAGAAAGAACACCGCCGGTAGACTTGGAAATCGCCCAACGGAACGACTAACGCGGAGATCGACCACATTCTCACCAACCGAAAGTGGAGCTTGCTTGATGTCTCAGTGGTTCCATCCTTCTGCAGTGGCTCCGATCACCGCTTCCTTCGAGCGAAGATACGATTCAGTCAGAGGCTGGAAAAGAAAGTCTGTCACAGTGCCGCGAGAAGGAAGGAAGAAGTTTATGAAGGTAACAGGCTGGAAGAGCTCATATCAAGTTGTGACTGGCCCATCGAGGAGGACCCAACGTACGACTACGACCGGCTTTTGAAAGGATTGCGAGCCTGCGGAGAGTGCGCCTCACTGACTTCTGAGAAGAACTTGGAACGTATTTCGAAGACCACAAGGAATTGCTCCAAAGAAGAAGATTTCTGAGGCAGGATCCGAATGCAACCCATCTCGTGCGAGCTGATAGCCAACGCCAGTAGCAGAACAACTTTGCAAGAGGATCTCAGGAAGTACAGGCAAGCCAAGATACTGGAAGCAGCCGAAGGAAGACGAAGTCTCAAGAAATTCCTAAGGGACCTCTGTGAATATCACGTACCGCTGGCTGCACTATTGAACGAAGACGGGACTCCGGGACTTCTTCCCGATACAAGATTGAATCTATGGCGAAGAACTTCTACACCAACCTCTTCCGCTCATCAACACCCGTGCCGATGCCCGTTGTTCCCACTGGAGAAGTACCACCACGAATTCTACCTGCTGAAGTGCGCACGGCAATTTAGACATGAAGACGTCCACACCTCCAGGAACAGACCATCCTTCCGTTTAACTTCTGCGAGCCGGAGAACACCATCTACACGAGATTTTCGCGTTGCACTTGACATCTTACCTTCAGAAGGAAAGGATTCCCGACAAGTGGAGGACGTCAAAAACCGTCTTCGTTTTGAGAAGGGTCAATGAAAGGGTTTTCGGAACTGCCGTCCAATATGCCTGCTGAGTGTGCTCTACAAACTTTTCACGAAGATTATTTTCGCTCGCATATCTATGACATTGGAGCCCAACCCCAACAACAAGTTGGATTCCGAAGGGATTCAGTTGCATGAACCACATCCAGAGGTTCCGAGAGTCATAGAAGTCTGCCGGGAATACCGACTGTCTCCCGTCCTAACCTTCGTAGACTGTGAGAAAGTCTTCAACAGCGTCGAAACGAATGCCATTCTGTCAGCTCTAGTCGATCAAGGACTAGATCCAGCTTACGTGAGGACACTAGCCGACTGCTACAAGGACTGTACAACAACACTGCAACAACACTATCGGTATGGTTAGGGGGCGATGCAGCCATTCCATCGCCCCCTAACCATACCGATAGGGAAGAGATTCGACAAGGCGACCTATTTCGCCCAAGCTGTTTACCGCGCCTTGCAGCGGGTGATGAAGTCACTGGACTGGGACGAGAAAGACATGCGAGTTGATGAGAGATTCGGTCCAACCTTCGTTTTGCGGACGACATTGTTCTCTTCTCGAGCACTATCACTGAACGGAGACGATGCTAAAGGAACTATACGAAGTGAGGAAGAAGATAGGACTACTAGATTGGAAGAAGACTCAGTTCATAGGGAACGCCCTTTGCGAAAATGCAAAAATGAAATTGGAAGGCACCCCTATCATCGTCTTCTTACGTGTATCTCGAACATTCGATGAATTTGGAGAAAGACTTGAGGGAAGAACTTGAGAAGAAGAGCAGCTTGGGCCGCTTTGGGTCTCTGAAGGAAGCCACCGACCAACTAGGACCCGAAGTTTCATGCCCACCTGCCCACCTGTTCGACTCAGCTTTTCCCGGAGCTCTGTCGCAGATGAGACTTGGGGCGACACTGTAGCCACGTCGAAAGCTTTACGGACCACCCACAGAGCGCTCGAGCGCAGTCTTCTGGAGATGTTCCGACATAAACAACACCTTGTCGGACTTCGCAGAACGGATATGAGAAGAATGTCCCGTCTTCGTGACCCAGCATACGTTGCGAAAGCGAAACATCGATGGGCCGGTCATATCATGAGAAGAACAGACAGATGGACACTAAGAACATCTGAGTGGGTTCCTCGCGAAGCAAAACGTCCCTGAGGAAGACCTCCAACGGGATGGCCAGACGTGTTCGTGGAACGGATGGACCAGCTAAGAAATCAGCTGGATACGATCATCGCACCTGGAGCTCCTGAACGCAGCCACCGACGGCAACCAACAAGATCGTGGATGTCTGAAGCGAGGGTCAGGGACAAATGGAAAATTTTGTGCTGAGGCCCGCACGCCACGTGAAGACGGACCATATAAGTACCAAAATGAGTAAGATATAACTGCAAAATTCGTCAACCGTCTAATCCTCTGCTACAGCTGCAATGTCCTTTACCCAAAATACACCGTCATTCGCGAAAATTCCTTGAAATTAAGAAGAAGGCAATATTGCAGCATGATTTTTACAAGCAAGAGTGCTCACTAGTGTGGACCTTTGCGGACCAAAAGCTTGAGCAATGCAAAGAGAGAGAAACATGCCTGTCAACTACTTCTAATATATGAACTCGGACCATGAACTTGAACTCGATAGCCGTTTTTTTTTGCTGATTTGGTGCCAAAAGTGCGAACTACCTCATTGATCGAAAAAGCAATCAATCAATCAGCAATCAATTTATTTACTACTGTAAGCAGCTGGAGGAATGCGACCATATGGTTCAAGGCTCGTATGCAAAAAAATGCATATCGAGTTTTGCAGAAAAAAGCAGACGAAGCGAGCTTGATACTTAGCAGCTGGCTCTGCAACAAACTCAAATGACTTGAATACAGATTTCATTCCAATATGAATTTGAATATGACATTCGAAACCCCGATTTTGGTTATTCGAGTTTCGGATTTTATTCGAAAATGAAAAACTTCGAATATCGAATTTCGAATGCAAATATATTCGATATTTAGTCGAATGATCGAATTTTCATTAGATTCGAACTCAAGTACATATGCAGAATGCAGAGAGAATAAAATTCCGATAGAAACTGGCAGCCACTTCAAAAAATACAAGTCCGAACTCTGCTACGCAATTACGGAATTTGTTGAGAAAGTTGCAGCACTTGTGCGTCGAACATCTCATCATCACCGTGCGATCATTTTTGTTAATGTAGCAGTGCTCCTAGATATATACAGGCGTTTTATGCGGTTCAATGCTCCCATAATGTTGACGAGAAGCTTCCTCATAAACGATTCTGCTCGTGTCCAGCAATATCCAAGTAATAAGTGAACCCTTTCTGCATCCAATAAAGTTGGCCCTCTCCCAACACACGCGGGAGAAAGATTTTGTCTGGGTCTTGTCTAGGAGTGCCGACATAGATAATCTTTCGTGAACATACCGCGAGATTGATCGCTCTGTTCTGTCTGTTAGTTATGGAGAGATGTCAACAGTACATTACTGTGTTCCGTGTGATTGGCAGTGGTGAAGAACAACTTGCGTAGGAGTGAATGCACCAGCGTAACAAAGTATCGTTGTTGAGATGACCTCATTCATACGAATCCACCTCGAATGTATAGACGATTCGTTGCACGCAAAGATTGCTGACGTATCGGCGTCTCTCTGAAGAAGCGCTCTTTCGTTTGTCTTACCACCTGCTGTCTCTCCCAAGCACCGGCTATCTTGGTCGGACGCAATGGCGCCCAGTCTTTGCGTGTTTTGAATCGCCGATAGTGACCGCGGTGAATGAATAGATAAGCCTAAATAAGATAAAGGATCGGGCTTTTTTGGTGCCATCGGCCGGCATGCATAATCTGTTTTATAGTGAAGAATCTAGTGATCACTTGCGGATCTTACACAATGACTTGCCGCGCTCAGCGGTTACTAGGCAGTTCTTTGGTCCTGCCAAGTGACTCTGGTACCAATTCACCTTGGAGAGTAGAGGGTTTCGTTGCCCAGGGGGAGTAGTAAACTTGTCTTTACTTTACTAATCGTACTGGCTCTCGCCGCATCACTCGTCCCCTTCATGATAATCACTCTACCCTTTTCTGCTAACCTTTCCATTCCTCTTTATTCGTAATCATCACATCTCGCAGTTGAGAAAATTGTGGATTTACTCATCAACGAATCCTGAAGTAAAATAGATCTTGGGATCGCATGCCCGGTATCTTCAATCAGTCGCCTGTATTTCAAAGTATGACATATTTTGAGCCGATAACCTGTGTTCACGAACGTACTTTAGGGTAACAATCATTCTGATGTTCGAGGTATCCAAGTATGGAGCAAGGTTGAATTTACCTGGATTTGTACCTTGGGCCAGTGCATTTGCGTTACCTCAAGGAAAGTTACCCCCTCTACTTCGCTGAGAAAAGTCCAAAAACGCCCAAAAAAGCCGGGGAAGCCCGAAAGAGCCGAAACACAGAAACGAACTTTTGGTAGAATTCTGACATTAGTTTGGCGTGCAAACGACACAAAATGAAGGAAAAAGACTCGGTTGCGAAATCAACACACATGCCTTAGCGTCAAGACGGAAAGAGCGTTTCGGCTCTTTCGGGCTTTTTTGGGCTTTCTTGGGCTTCTTTCGGCGAAGTATGACGGGTCCCAAAAGCCGGAGGTAAATATGTTCGTGGACGCAGGTAGTGGCCTCAAGGCATGTATTTTCGTGTACACGGGTAATGGCTCGGGGCATTTCACATACTTTGAAAATAGGCAGTTGATTGAGTATACAGATATGCGCTCTCAAGATTTATCCTACCTCTTTGTTCGTTCACGAATACAGTCACTGAGCGTCGCTTCAGAACGAGATGACATTCCAAGCCTTCTCATCCTTGGATATGCGCGTGCAACTAAAACTGCGCACTTTTTTATGTGTTATTACAGGACCTGAATGGACATGCAGAATCTCGTGAACAATCTGAAGAGCACCGCTCTTAGCGTTGGAGAAATGCTGACCCCTGTTTTGAAAGAAAGCAAATTCCGCGAAACAGGAGTTTTGACGCCAGAAGAATTCGTCATCGCAGGTGACCATCTCGTACATCATTGCTCTACCTGGCAGTGGTCAAGGGCTGCTGATCCAAGCAGGTGCGTGTCATATCACCTTGTTTTCGGAAAGTTTGTGAATACATGGTCGTCACTTTGGGGCGTGGTGCAAGAGGAACGATAGTAAATGCCAGCCGCTGGTGCCAATGCTTGGCGGCGCCGCGTTATGGAGCAAAGCTATGCCGCATTTGCCTATGGTATATCCTGAGGGCCCTTTGCGTTGCATCGCTCCTGATCGCAGTCGCAAAGGAGCTAGCGCTACCCAGCGGTGAGCCATTCCCCATATTTTCTATAGATAAAGAGATCAAAATGCGGATGATAAACGCATTTCAAGGGCGAATTAAATTTAGAATATGAGGAAGAAGCGTCTGCAAGCAAGCCAAGAGAAAGTAAAAGATGGATTTCTCTTGGAAAGTTATTGGCGAAAAACCTCTACATTTTCTCTACTGATTGTCGTGTTCCACTTCTTGAACACTTTTAACTCAAATCCAGCGCATTGGATATATCAGTCAGCCTTTCAAACATCCCTAAGATCCATCTATATTTCTTTTAATTTTTCAAATTGCAGCCTTCTTTGTTTTCTTTATTGCATTTATACAATTTGAACTTATCAGATCGTAGTAGTAGGGAATGGCTCAATCCGCTGGCATGAGCAGCCTACTCCCGCAGCTGCAATTTAAGACGACGCAACGCAAATGGCCCTCAGGATATACCGCAGGGGAATGCGGCGTAGCTTTGCTCCATAACGCGTGCCCCCCCCCCCAATGCTTCATTTGCCTTCAAGATCGCAAATTGCAAACTTATAAAAAATAGTAGATATTAAATCCATGCTCTACTCAATTTGCAGTGCCCGGGCAAAAAGTCGATTTTGAGATTTTGTGCTTACCCGGGCCTATTCCCTATGCTGAATCCGAAAATCCACACTGGAAAGCGCGCAAACGGCGAAAAAAGGCTCTAACGCAGGAGGAAAATCAAAAGTGGGCGGGGCCTTCCCCAGGGTGAATTCACGGTCCCAGCTCCCGGAGCGATCTTTTCGCTTCCGACTTCAGATCATGCATTCGCACTTGGTCCGTTGAGATGTTAAGGCGGTTAGTGTGATTGAAAAGATCGCTCCGAAAGCTGGGACCGTGAATTCACCCTGGGGAAGACCCCGCCCACTTTTGATTTCACTCCTGCGTTAGAGCCCTTTTTCGCCGTTTTCGCGCTTTCCAATGTGGATATTCGGATTCAGCATAGGGAATAGGCCCGGGTAAGCACAAACCATGCGAAACACGGTCGCGGGGTCCAGTTTCGACTGGAGTATCTCAGCCGTTAGAGCACTACCTGCGCTGCCGCTTGGGCAGTGCCTTAGTTAGGGCCCCAATACTTTCCACGTAAAATTCCCATAGGTCCAGATCTGCTTGGACGCTGCCTTTAAGTCCCGGTGTTTCGTGCAATTCGTTAATGTTTCTGCAGGAATAAGCTTGAAATACTTGAAGTTTCACCCCTTTCACACCTCATTTTCAAAGAAACACAATCTATCCGGTTCTCCTGTCTAGATGAAAGCATAAAAGAAGGAAATACTCGAAATCTGGTGCTGATAGACAAAAATGGCGGTAAAGTATGCGCGAGTTGTTGACACCCCACTAGCTATCGGTCCTCTTGCTCGCCACCCGTCACTTTGGTGTTGCTTTTGATGAAGCATGCATGGTGATTATGTGATAGTATCATTCATTTCAGAATATTTTGAGTTCTGGTGGATGTATCTAGGATTTCGGGGATCTAGTTTGAGCAATAGGCGCGTGCGCTTAGCGTTGAAGCGTGCTTTCCCTTATTTCGGATGGTTCACTTCCCAAAATGAGGAAAGTCTGAACTTGTTATGCATGCTTGCGTAATCCAATAGGTTGTGTCCCAGTTGAAACTTTCTTTCTGCTCTGTATTCCGGAAACTTGCTAGGCTTTGGATCAGGGTGACTTGACTCGGTTTTTTCACACATTTTCTGTATAGTAACTGCTATTACCCATTCTACTTTGAGCCCCTTTTCTTTACCACGATGTGAGACACAGTGCGGACCCGAATAGGCGTTGCTAAAAAGATGAGAAGTGATTTCTTTCGTTAAGTCTATTTGAACAAAAACAACATTCCAGTCAGAATTTTAGTTCTGTTTATTTATGTTGAGCTTCCAGATATGCTGACGATTATGTGCTTGGTGCTGGAATATAGACTTGTTTTTCAGAACGCGCTCCTATCTCCCTGAAGACAAACAGTTTCTGATTGTGCGTAATGTTCCATGCCATAAACGATGCCGACAAATGGAATATGACCCAAGTCTGGAGAAGGTCCGTTCTCACTACTCAGTATATGTGAGGCAATATTTGTGGTTACAGATATTGTCTTCAAACGAGATTGGCGCCGAAGAAGGTTTTGCTGGTGACGAAGACAGTGGCTGGGTAGACACGCATCATTTTGGTCATGAAGGAGGAGAGATGAAAAGCGTTGAATTAGGAGCAACGGTTAGTTTGTAAATGACGGTTCTTTTTCTAAATACTTTCGTCTCGATTTTCCTTGTCATTTTGACTATGAGATCATTTTAATCATTTGAGGGACAAGCTAAATTATCTACGAGAGAGGTACTCGACTTACTACGATTAATAGGTCCATACAGCATTCTAAAGCTCTAGAAATTCCTTCACTAAGTTAAGTCCACGGAGGGCATAGTATAACGAATGGGTGATTTTTGTAATCAGCATGAATTTCCTTGTATGCGAAGTCTTAGGAAAATTTGAAGTCTTTGTATAACTCACGTTCGCCTATTTTAAGCATGGGCAACCCTTTACATACAGACTGTCTATCATTCTTAGCTTAGCATGTTGAAGAATCCATGAAAGTAATGGCGGATCTTAGGAGTAACGCCTTCTTTTTATTTTCGTTCTCTCACTCTTCTGAACTTTGGTCATTCGCGAATCCATGGCGCAGTTTGAAAAAGTATTGTATTGCGGATGGAGATTTTATTTATTCAAGGGGGCTGATAACGGGAACGATGATGGTGATGGTGATGACGATGAACCGGCTATGGATCTTGATGATTTTGTCGAATCTGGCGGTCTTGAAGATATCGACCCAAACAGGTAATTGCTTTGGGAGGCAAAAGGGTGCGTATGCTTTTTTCCTTCCAGGTACATCGCTTCTCATTCTGCACCAGTAGCCGAAGTTGAAAGACCTCGGACATATGATCTACACATCACTTATGACAAGTACTACCAGGTTAGTGATAGTATGGCAACGAGCTTTGTTTGCATTCACTTAATAGGCCTATTCCTTCACCATCCATTCTGCGATAAGGATACTCGAGAAGCACATATTGTCCAATAAACTTTAACATGTTTTATAGCTAATTTCATGCGTTGATTTATTCAAAATGCGTTGAAGCACAAAGCGTTTTTGTATTATAGTGTAGGGATGGATGATATAATTGGCTTTCAGATTCGTATAGAGGCGGAGAATCGCCTACTTCTGATAATGTGGTTGTATCGTTAGCTCTACAAGTCAAAGCATTGCTTTTTGGACTCTTTTTGGACGCATGTTCGTGTTAAATGCTTCCGATTTGGACACTCACTGATACAACAACTAGAAAAACACTTTTACCAGCTATGCAAAAGTTCCGAAAATTACAATTTGCTATCAATGTCAAATGCTGTTCAGGTTCCGAGATTATTTCTCATGGGGTATGACGAGAATAGGAAGCCTCTGACCGTTCAGCAAACATATGAAGATTTTTCAGCCGTAAGTTAATGCCTGGTTATACTTCTGCAATTTTTCCAACTCAAGGACCATGCGAATAAAACCATCACCGTTGAATCGCATCCTCATATAGACTGCGACATGCCAACTGTACATCCTTGTCGACATGCTGAGGCAGGTTCATTATCCCACATTACTGTGTGTTTTTATCTCTGTGTGCAGATGATGAAGCGCTTACTCGACCAATTAGCCGAGAACGGCAAGGAACTTGGAGTGCATGAATATTTGCTAATCTTTTTGAAATTTGTCCAGGTTAGTGAGATGTTCAACCTAACTGTAGTTACTTCGCGTACACTGTGTATGCGGCTGTTCACGCACACTAATTCGCACACTGAACTAGATGATCTATGTATTGCTCCCCTTCATTTTAGACCGTCATTCCAACAATCGAGTACGACTACACGCGATCCATACAACTGTGATTCGCGATGTGCAAAGATTAATTCTGCCTGCGAAGGTGCTTATAACTTTGTACAGTTTATGCCTAATTTTGGGTATTTTGTCGAACATTTGCCACATTTATCTGTTCAGGAAACATGTGTATTTTTTGTTGATTGACTAAAGCTGAGAGTAAGAAAGTTTTATCATTAACCAGCTATACATTTTCTCTAGCATACTTGTTTACCTTTCTATGTTTTTTGCCCAGTTTTCACATGAAAGTTTTTCTGTGATACGTAACAGGAGTCTCTGCTGCACACTCCCAACATCTTACGTTATTTTAAGCTGTTTGAACAGTGCTGAGATACTTGTGATCATGGATTGTCGTTGTTCATTCAGTTTCGACTCTTAGGCCCTGGGCAGACTGCGCTCAAAAGCGCCCAAAAGCGCGCAAAAGCGCCCAAATTTCTCTAGTGTCTCTTCATTTTGTCGTGTGAGGAGAGATGAGAGAGAGTGAGGAGAGAGATAGAGAAGTTTGGGCGCTTTTGCGCGCTTTTGAGCGCTTTTGGGCGCTTTTGAGCGCTTTTGGGCGCTTTTGAGCGTTTTTGGGCGCTTTTGAGCGAAGTCTGGCCAGGGCCTTATGCATCTTGCAACAAGGCACGGTTTTCTTCTCATTTTTTATTATGTTGTTACACTATGAAATGAGTGCACGTCCTCAACATTTCCTTCTTTTTTGACAAATATCCTGATTGACTTTGTTGTAGTTCATGTTTTCCGTATTTTGAAGTATGCATGTGTGGACTTCGATGGCAAAAATTTTTCCTTTAATCGGAGAATTTAGTTGTCCAATAAAAGCTTTCAAGGCAATTTATGTGGTGCCAGCCATTTGAGGTGGATGTGAGGAAGCTTTTCCTAACCTTATCGCTGCACAACCGCTCCTGATTTCTACACTGGGCTATATTAGCCAAGTTATCATTCTTGTGATTCCACTTTAATTTGTTTGTCTTGGCCTATGAGCGAGTAGGTCATCAATTGTCTTTGACAGGGACTGTAAGGGATTGTAGCTTCTAGCCACAAAATGTTTCAAATTATCAGAACGTACATAAGGAGCGTTTCTAATGCGAAGCGTACTAATGATCAACCACGAAGGCATAAAAAATGGGCAAACTGTATTGTGAATTGCCAGCTACCGACGAATTGTAACTGAGTTCTGCATTTTATCTGTTTGTGAGATCAAAAAAAATGCTCCATCTTAGTTAATATACCTACAGAAAAAGATCTGCCAATCCGCCGATCTATATATGTCCCATGTACGCGCTCCAAACTGGTCCTGCAATTCTTGCGCTAAGGCTTGAAAACGCTCTCCACAAGCCTGCTAGCCCGCCTTCCGCTGTGCGGGCGTCAGTGGTGGACCTTTCAAGCATATTTTCAAGACTTAACGCATGAAAATTTGGGAAGCATCCCAAAAATTTTTTCGGAGTGCGTGGCTAACGCACGCACCTTCATCCGAAAAATTTTTTGCCCCCCCCCCCCCGAACGGAGATCCTGGGTACGCCACTGTTTAATGGGGAGACTACTACTACCTCCCAATATTTGTATAGACCTCGACAGGGCTCCCAATCAGGGCTCGGCACGAGCTGGCACCAGGGAACTTTTAAAACGAAGTCCCCTTTGACCTTGGAAATTCCGTACGAGGTCAACTTTGACCTGTTTTGAAGACCCGTCATTATTTTTTAGAATCTGTACAGGTATGTAATGAGGTCTTTACGCATGCTGATTTCATGGAATAACTTCTCACAAGTTTTCTGAGCCTTTTGAGTGGTTGAATCACATATGAGAAGCAGTGAAAAAGCAGATTTTCCGACTGCGGAGCAGACCAAAAAATTCTCAGATGCCTATAAAACGCCGAGAAGAAAACATTTTGGAATTGTTTTTCTCTGTATGTAAACTTTTATAATGTAGATATACTATGTAAAAAAGTATGAAAACTTATGTGAGCAAAGTGTCGGTGTCAGCCCAGCTGGCACCCAGCTGGCACCCAGCTGGCACGGTGCTAGCTAATTCATAAAAAAGTTCAGCACAGCTTTCAGTCACATAGGTTTTCATAAATTCATGGGCCGTAGTTCGGGTCTTCCCAGTCATACTGCTGCGTTTTGGCTGAAAATAGCGCCTTGTTTGTTTGATATGCGGCTGTCCTCCGCCCCGGACCCCGGAAAAACGATATATTCCTTTTGCTTTCCGCCCAAAAAAAAACATCTAGCTTGACCCGGCGCCAGTTGTGCCGTGCCTGCTCCCAATTGAGTTTAGCCGTCAAAAATGCGTGCTTAGGGTAATCTCACAACCACTTATTTCACGCCTGTAAGTAAAAGTTTGTAAGTTTTGCTTCCGTTCACCTCTCTGACGTTGATCAATCAGGGAGAGTTCTGATGAAGCTGTGAATATATCTTCAGAATTGCTGTTTGTGCTAAAAGATGACCCGCTCTATCCGTTCGGAAGCTAAGCAGAAAACATATTGTGCATCGAAACGATGTTTGTCTCTTAAGATTTGTAAACAATACAGTATGCTCAGATAATGGCGGAACAGTTGAAGAAATATATGGAAAAATTAGATGATCTTCCACCTTTTATTCGCAAAAACGCAGAAGAGATCCGTGAGCTTGATGAGAAGGTTGGTCTGACACTCGAGTTTCTCTTCATGTTTCTTGTTGCTTCAGGTTGAGAAAATAATGCATGATATACAAATTCGTACAGTCGCACACGTTAAGAATCTGAAGAAGACTACTAGAGAACAACGAGTGAAGTGGTATAAAGAAGTCCAGGTGAAATAGATTCATTCTTTCCCTATCCTTCCTCCGTTCCACAGTAGTGTGCCATGTCAGTTAAGGCACGCGCCATACTTGATCGCTTCATCCACTTCGCCATTGGTCAGTTTGCTGGTTTCACCAATAGCGAAGTGAATGAAGCAGATCGAGTATGGTATGGCGCGTGCCTTATGAGCTTGAAAGTTCTTTATTTTAAAGTGAAGTTTGCTCAGCAACTATTTGATTTTTCTTCATTGTAGGCAATGTACAAGGAAGCTGATAAGCTAAGTGAGAGGAAGGTAAAACTTGCGCAGAAAATGTACGACACTGTCGACACGCACATCAAAGAGATGGATCAGCAGCTTGTAGAATTCCAGGAGTTCCAAGTCAAGAAGTACAGCGAAGGACAACTAAAAGCAAGTGCGTTTATGAACTGGTCAAACTCAACTGGTCAAATGAGCTCTTTGACGGAGTCTCTTTTTCTTCACTCTCTTCTCACCTTACTGTTTTCTTGTCGCAGGCACTTCTGGTGCAGAGGGTCAGAAGCGAAAAGGAGCTGTAGCCGCTATAAAAGGGGATCGAAAAAAGAAACCGAACGATTCCAAAACTCGGCCGGACAATCGTAAGTGCGAACCTCAGGGCTTTATGACCTCAATATTTGGGAAATTGTAGCACCATTCATGGAATCCTTCAAGCCTTCTGCAATCACTGCAGTTGACATGCCAGTCGATCCCAATGAACCAACCTACTGCATTTGTCATCAGGTACCTTATATCCACTTTTTCGCGATGATTCCCTTGCTGTTATGTACCTATAATTATAACGCCTCATATGTGAGCGTTTATCCTTCATATACTTCCTTGGACGCCGGGTGCATTGTAATTCTCTTATGTTAGCCAGTTACTTGTCATCGAAATAGTTGAAAGCCATTTCATTGCTCTTAGGTATCATTTGGACAAATGGTCGCTTGTGACGGGCCTGATTGTAAGAACGAATGGTTTCACTTCCAGTGTGTTGGTTTGACGTCATCACCAGTTGGTAAGTTTCTTGCTGTAGCTTTCAAGTGGTTAAATAAGAGAATGTTTGAATGTTCATGTGTGGTGCTCTACAAGTTGTGCGATTCATACGCCTACTTCTAGTTTCGCGTGGAGGGGAGCGGAGCGGAGAATGTAGTTGTGCTTCTTGATGATTTAGAGTCTGAGTTTTTCCTTGCATATTTATCTTCGAGTGACTTCTACCACTACTTAAAGTTATCAAGCAAAAGCGTATTGTTGTGTAAGCCATAGTTTTCAAAGTCATGTATGGTTTCAATGTTTTGTAAGATTCCGGCTCACATCCTTTTCTTTAGAGGGTCTTTCTGCCAAGCATATTACAAGAACAAGTCTAATAATGATGGCCAGTGCTTCACCTTTGCTTGGCGGAGGCTCGCACTGGTGGTTTTGAAAGTATCAGGTGAACCAACTTGCTGATGCTGTATTGCTCGATCATTCTTCTATTGCTTGACAAAGAATTCCGAACAAAAATAAATCCGAATAAAACAAAATCCTCCCTTGTTATTAGACTTCACATGCCTTAACACGTTTCGGACCGCGAAATCGCGCGCGGCAAAAAAGAGGGTACTTTCAGCCGTTAGCCAAAAAGGGACCTCAATTCGTAGACTGTGTGCTGTATCTGTAATCAGCATGTCAGATAATATCCGTAGCCAAAGTTCTGAGTGAATTCGAAGTGTCTGAGTTTTGTCGCCTGAGAAGGACTTGTGTGCTTTCCAATTCTATCCAAAAATATCTATGTCGCATACAGTACACATCATTACCGAAACCACGGTTTTTCTATTGAAATAGGAGCAAAGAAAAGGCGACGTCGCACGCGTCGTTCGCATTGCCGCACTTCATTGCAACTGTTGTTCGATTTGTCCTCATATCTTCTAAACAAATACCGTCGGCACAGCTCCACAGAGTCATTTGAAAAGGAGGAGCTTAGCCCTTTGATTTGATAACCTTGGACAAAAAGAAGACCTGGGGTGGAGGACCATATGTCGCCGAATTTGGAAGAGTCCCGCGCGGATTCCCTGCAGGAACGCATGTCCGCACATGCACAAGAGTGCGTATTTGTCGCAAATGACCGCGGGGACCGCCCTTTTTCGGCGACATATAGTCCTCTACCCGACCTCCTGCAAACATTGAAAAGATCCTTGAAAGGCGCGTGCTGCACCATGTGCAGCACCGGTCCGAAACGTGTTAAAAAAGTATATCATTCCTCACTGATTTCGTGACAGACAGACCAATTTGAATAAGCGCGTTATTGTACGGTATGGATGGTACTGATGTTCCTTTGAAAGGACCATTAGTCTCGACTTGAGATTCAACGTAATTTCTTTATTTTGATGCTTTTTCCCATCAGGAACAGCACGGTACCATCAAAATCAGTTCAATTTTTATGATCTTTTTACTTGTTGCTTAGGAAGATAAATGACTTTGAAGTACAGTAGTCGAGCTTGAAAACAGTAAATGCGTCCATGACAACCCTTTCTCTGAATATGGCTGTAGTAAGGAACTGAGGAGTCACTGATAAACAAGCGACGACGTGGCCAAATTTTTGCAACCGAGAAACGTTCAGCTTTTTTGACAGCTCCGCTTCACTCTCTGGGGAGAGGGGGGAGGGATTTTCATCATGTGATCCCTATACCCGAATATAACACGGAGAAATTCTATGGTGCCGTAACCTTATGTATTTTTCAATTGCAATAATGATTATGAGCTGACTACTGCATAATTAAGGAAAATGGTACTGCGATCAATGCAAGGAAGCTAGGAAGAAGAAGATCAAACAGTGAATGTGAAGAAGAGCCTTGACCTCTTGCAAGAAGCCATATCATCAAACTTTTGTGTACCGCAGTGAACATCAGGACGACTTAATTTTTTTTCTTGCTTTATGATCTCTAGCCTATTGATGTTTTATCTCTATCCGGCTTGGAACTTGGATGCATGTTCTTATTGATCCGTACAAACTGCGTAAAGCATTAACTGTAGCTTATTTGTGCTCATTTTACGCTGGAAAATGCAGGCGTCCGCTTTTATCGTCGATTCGTTGGCCGCACGACTGGACATCACTGCGGAGCACGCGGCGCGAGCTAAAAAGCTTGCCCCAGTACAAATCCGCCATTGTACAAATTGTGCTCTCGCAACATTTTAGCCGCGCCGCGCGTGGTCCGCAGCGTTTGAGCAGTCCTGCGGTCAACGAATCGATACATGGCACAATATGTCAGAATTCGCACGATAGCACAATCTTACCCGAAGGAGCGGCATTTTCATTCAGGGCAAAGCTCAATGCGTCAGCGTGCCCATGTTTGTACGGAAATGAAGTGCAGGAAAAGTCCAAGTGTAAGGACACCAGAGCGCCGTAGTTAGCACTATTGCTGAGGAAATTTTGTGTAAAATTCTCGAGAAATGTTACCAATCATCTGTGTTAGTGTTGGATACGATGTGAGGAAACACTCAATTGCGAAAATCTGAGAAAGTCGCACGAGCGGAAAATGGGTTGATCAGGGGATTTTGGAATATGGTTTGTGAGTCGTAAACTTACGCAAATAAATTGTACTCACAAATGATCCAAATTAAACACCAAAGTCCGTCTCTGATTTTCTAACTTCTTGCGATCTTGACAGAACTGCTTCACTCAAGTTCTTGGAAGGATGAAAAATTTGAGCAAAGGAAGTCAGCGATTTGATTGCTACTGAGAAGTTGTTACAGTCTGCCCCAATCGGGATCAGGCCTAACGAAGATTTTTCAGTTTCATTCATTCTAAATTATGTCACGAAAAAATTGAAATTATGGACTTAGAAACACGTGCAATAAATATAAACAAATGTTCCCCAAAACAATCAACGCAGAGAGTGAAAAGAGAAAGAAATGCGTCGTATAGTGCTTGAAGCTTTTGCTTATCTCTATTCTGCGTTTTCACGACAGGTCGAAAAAATTGCACGAACTTTCGGATCACCTAATATATTGTCTTTTCAATTAAATCAGATCTTAGAAAACAGCTCGAAAGATTTGCGAGATGTATGGTAAAGATGATATAGTTTCAGTGACTACTCAGTGCTAAATCCAAAAAACTTATTTTTAAATTTGGCAGTGGGTTTTCTTTACAACGTCCCTTCCAGAGGATAGTAGATGGACATTACAGGATTTGGTAAAAATGATGATCTGTGACTACCAAATTATTAGAGTCATGGGTTACTTTCCCAATTCAGTATGAGGGCACATAACCTGAGTAAGCGCGACGATCAACTGCAACTAAGTCCGCTCCTTTGAGTTTCGAGATAATTAAATGCAGCCTCTAACTTGGGTAAAAGAAACGGACTGCGGCCAGGGCTCGGCACGAGGTGGCTAGATGAAAATGGAAAAAACGAAGTCCCCCTTGACTTTTGGGAATTTTTACGAAGTCCCCTTTGACCCTCAACTAAATTTCCTCTAAAAACCTGAAAAATTCCCCAAAACCCCCAAAAAACGAAACGTCGACTAAAAAAAAACATCGCCAAGTCGCCAATTTTGCGCCTCTCTTCGGTCACAAAAACGAAACCCCCTCTGCTTTTTGTCCCAAAAACGATGTCCAGCTTGCTTGTAAACCACCTGTGCCGAGCCCTGACTGCGGCGGATTAATATCGACAAAGCCGTCGGGACCCCATAACTAAGTTGCAAATGATTTTCGAGATTTGAATTTTGGAAAGCCAATGATACAAGGGTTCGAAAAACGCTGAATTTTTCAAATCTACTTTTATTGAAAGTGTTTCCATTAGGTCGTCGAAACGAAAAATCAAAAATCGCATGAAACCGTTGCATGCTCAAAATTTCACAAGAACTGAATCCTTTTGCTTCTAGTTCCTTCTTTAGAGACACAATGGCCAGAGACTATTAAAACATTTTTAAAAATGAGGAAAATCTATCTGAACAGAAGTTATGGGGAGCGATGGTTTGCCGCGATTTTTCCGTTGCGGCCAGTCGTTGAAAATACTTCTAGGTAAGGCAGTATCAGAACATTTGATAATTTTTTGAATTCTTGTATCACCGGCTTTGGAAAAATCACGATTTCGCGAATTTTATTTTGAACCAAGTTAAAGAGTCGACGGTTCTATCAAGGGTAATCGACACAGTCCGTCTTTTCTACCCAAGCAGGTTATTGTATCACTGACAGTCGCAGAAGAGCATTAACAGTGATCGTACCTACATAAAAGATTAGCCTATTTTCTGTTGTTGTTCAAGTTTTTTAATACTTCTATCAATGCAAATGGCGGACTGAAAAGAATGAAAATATAAAAAATAAGCTTTTCGCCCTTCTGATTTCTCGTTTTCGAGCCAAACATTTCTTATGAGTTGCAGTTTGAGGAAGTGATGCGAATGATAGAGAGAAGACAAATTTCTTTAGTAAACTTACACATTGCTAACTGTTGTACGAGGAATTGAGAAAGACTGACAAAAAGTGGAAAAACTCATTTCACAGTCTAGTACTAGCAAATACGAATTTCTCCGCAACCTTTTAGATTTTTGGCGGCCCATTCAAAAATTGAAGCTTGAATGACTTTCTTTTCGCTTGTACCTATGCAACCGCTATGATGAAATATTGCATTTCGGCGAATCCGTCGAAGTAATAGGCAATCAAGAAAATGATGTCAATTTTTGTTTGTCTGTGGCACCGCAACTTGACGAGCCCCCAAAAAGGAAGAGGGATATGTTCGATAGAGCAAGCCCTGTAGGACTGCACCCAAGCAGCTCAAAAAGTGTTCGACATAATGTTCAAGTCAAATCGAGAAAAATTCGAATGCACCAAAAAACGGGAATAGTTTTATTGTCTAGAAAAGTCCACAAGTTTCTTACTTGCTAAAGCAAAAACTATCTACATCTGTATTTATCCCTAAAATTGCTGAACATACATGCACCAATGTAGATTAAGTACGAAAAAGTGGTTTTGGAGACTTAAATTGATTTTTCTTAGAAACTATTAGCCGAAGTAGATGGTGTTGCTCGCAAAGGTTTGCACTATAGAATTACCTATGTGGGACCCATCGCAACTTTGGCAAAAACGTAAGATAACTTTTTTCTTTATTTTTAGTCATAGAAAGAGCAAGGAAATTTACGGATAAACACCAGATATAGAGTGTATTGTCTGAGCAAGTAAGAAACCCGTAGAAATTTTCTATAAAATCTTTTTTATCGCACTTCATGTGAAACAAACTTTCAGCGAGTATTCGAGCGCGGTTTTGTAGAGCCTGCTTTGCTCTATCGAAGACAACCCCTTTTGCATTTTTGGGGCTCATTAGTTATTTGCAGTGCCACAGCAAGCAAACGAAGAAAACGACACTAATTTTTTTTAACAACATAGTAGTAAGAAATACAATTCAATTCAAAAATTAGACAGCAGCGTTATTCACATTCCCCATACTCAAAGATTCTGGAAGTTGTATTGAACGAAAAATACATGTAATATAATATATGCAATAATACATGAATGTTAAGATGATGCGAAGATGTCCGAATGAATGTGAATGTTAAGATGATGTTGAGATGTCCGAAAGCTCGTGCCGTTTTTTAGACCTGTTCTAAAATCGTTCAAAATGAAGATCGACAAATCAATCTTTTAACAGTGTCCCATGCAGAATTTCTTCCTCTTTCCAGCAGCTATGGCTGAGCGCTGAGATAATTGCCGAAAACTAGAATCCTTTATTTTTACCATGTTTAACTTTCACTAATTGTCAGAATTTTCATTTTAGGCTTCTGAAGGTGCTCTAATGACCTCCTGATAAGTCAGCCTTTTTCAAATCAACGTCATTTTTTGCAATTTTCAGCTTCCATTTTGCTGGATTATTTTACTGGAGCATTGGATTTTGAACAAGTCGTGTAAAACATAATTGCACTGCGAAATCTTCAAAATACTGAAGTTCTAAAACTTGATCATTACTATCAGTAGTATTACGAAGTAAACGGATTGCGGCGTGAAGATGGATAGATTTGAAATTTTGAGTACAACCTCGCGCACCCGAAAAATTGGTAAGTACAGCAATTTTTTTCTATAAAATTTGCATGTTTCGCGAAGAAAAGGTAGCTGGAAGAGGAGAAAAAGATGCATCGAGTGGTACCTAAACTGTTCAATGTCTGATGCTTTGCGAGGTTAGAATGAGCCAAATATAAAATTTGCTCACTTCAAAAAATATATATTGTAGTAATTCCAGAAAGCATGCTATAGGGATGCAAAAATTGCATTAAGTTGAAAAGGCCTTATCAGATGATTATTAGGGCACCCTTAAAGTCTAAAATGAAAATTTTGAAAGTTACTTCCTGCTCTGCTCCTTATCTCCGGAAATAGATAAAACTCTTTAATATCCAATGGAGAAAATTGTCAGCATCCTTTCTATACATCCAGGCTCTTTTTCTAGTACTCCTGATGGAGTAGCTTTGCACTTTATCAAAAAGGCAGTGTCTGAAATTGACTTTGCGCTTGATTCCTCTTCATTCTTTTTTTACATGAGAGGAGAGGTTTCTGACGGGTGGGAACATTCTATAGTGGCACCAATTCCTACAAAGCCTCCCTATGACATCCCAAAAATGATCGCCTTATAAGTATTTATAATGCCTATCTTCTCCAGAGCATTTAAGAAAATACTCAAAGATTAGATATGCACGGTATTATGCACAGTATACTAACATCCTCTCTTCTCAGCATGACTCTTGTAAAGGTAGATCAGTTGAGACAACGAGCTTGCCATGAATGATTGGACATTCGCAGTTGAAGGGGTTATCGAACTGATGTCATATATTTAAACTTTCCCAGAGCTTTTGACAAGGTATCAACTCCAACATTGCTATCTAAACTTGAGCTTTAAGGTCTACACAATTTTGCATGCACATGGATCGAAAATTTTGAACAACCGAACCAGTACGTACCGGTAATGATTACTGAAAGCCCTATTCCATTTTCAGTGGTGTTCCACAAGATGGATACTGTCACCCATTTTCGTTCTTATTTGA